CCTTTTTTTGATATTCCTTCATGGCAGCTGTTGACTTGAGGCCAGTTGGGCTTATGACATTATCACCCCCACTTTACTGGTGAGGAGACTGAGATCCAGAGAGGCGAAATGACCTTGTGTGATCACACAGCTAGATGGGCAGCTAGCCCGGAACTCAGGTCTCTCAGACCAGAGCTATGGAATGAAGGGCCTGTGAGTGGGGGGCCACTGGGCCGGGGCTAGCCCCTCATATCTTCACTTCTGCCCTCTCTCCATTCCTTCCTCCTGTGCTCTGCAGTGCGCACTGATACTGTGCTCCCCAACACCTGACACCCCTACCCCTGTCTCCACCAGCTCCTATGTCAGCTCAGGTGTCCTAAGGATTGAGTTGCTGATGGGGTTGGGCTGATGGGCACCTGACCCTGTGAAGGGACAAGAGGGAGTCAGGGATCCCTCCTGCAAATAGGACGGGACAGAAGGTGGGGTCAAAGGAAGGCAGACTCATGATTGCAGAGTAAGGGGCTCCTCAGGAGCCTGGCTTTTGAGAGAGCACAGTGGGCAGTGCTGGTGGGCCCCCTGTAGGCCTGACCCCCACATCAGCCCTAGCTAGGGCCTCTCCCCCTTAAAGGCCCTCCCTACATGAAGACATTCACTGGGGAGACGTCCTTGTGCCCTGGCTGCGAGGAACCTGTCTATTTTGGTAAGTGACAATGGAAAACTGAGAGGCGGGGTGGGGGGGGTGCCTGGGGTCAAAAGGCAGGGAGGGTAGAGCAAGGCTGGTGGGTCCCCTGCTCTGCGTCCCCCCTAGAACCACCTCTTTCCACCACCAGCTGAGAAGGTGATGTCTTTGGGCAAAAATTGGCACCGACCCTGCCTGAGGTGCCAGCGCTGCCGGAAGACGCTGGCCGCCGGGAGTCATGCTGAGGTGAGCTGGGCGGGATGGATGCTTTAGTGGAGAGGAGGGAAGAGAGCCACGCTGAGGAGGCCTTCTTTCTCTCTGTGTGTCCCAGCATGACGGCGCCCCCTACTGCCACATCCCCTGCTACGGCTACCTGTTTGGCCCCAAAGGTGGGCAGTCCCATTCCAGACACCAGGCCTAAAGTTTGGCGTGTACATGGTCTGTGGGGGATGTGTGGACAACTTCCCCTGTGGCCAAACACACCCCAAGCCCTTCCCAATTCCCTGCAGCCCTCAGCCCAACACGACCTAGCCCTAAGGTCCTTGGTGATGGGGCTCTCTCCCTCAGGTGTGAACATTGGTAATGTAGGCTGCTACATCTATGACCCTGTGGAGATAAAATCCAAATGAGATGCTCACAGGAGAGGTCACCCTAACTCGACCTTCCACCATCCCCTCCATGGTCCAGTAGGAGCTACAGAATTCTCCAGTCCCATGAGGTGGGAGTCTGGTGGCCTGGGCCTAAGCTCCATGGTAGACCAGAATCTAGACTTTCTCTGCCAACTGTGTTCCTCTTCCATCCCTATCTGGGGACACAGTCCACCCTATTCTGAAGGCTGGCCTCCTGGCCTCCCTAATCTCTTTCCCCAGAAAATTCTGGAACTTCAGGGTGTGCAAAACTTTGTGTTTATTCTCAGTTTCTCCAATAAAATGTTGGCTCCCATGCAACATTCAACTCTTCTTTGGGCAGGAGTTCTAGACAGTCGGTTGGAGGGTGGGGAGTGTGGGGGGAAGGGGGTACATTACCCTGCTTAGTGCCTAGGAGGTAGCAGCCATATATGGCAGCAAAAAGCTCTGTATTCCTCATACCCTGGTCCTGGCATTGGGCAGCCCTTAGGACACACGGCATGCACACCAGCCCTGTAGGTACCAGAAATCATCATAGGACAAGTCTCATTTGAGCATAACCGCAGATAGGTCCTGTGGTGAGGTGCGCTTCATTATCCATTTAAGAGATGAACAGACTGAGATCCAGAGAGGGAAAGCCACTTGCCTGAGGTTACTAGTGGCAAAGCTGGGAGTCCAGGGCTAGACTCAATGGCTTCCCGTCTATGGCTCTTCCCACAGCTGCTCACTATTGCCCCAACACAAGGGGCAGCTTTATTTACAGAATTACCCCAGCCATGAGAGGATGCCAGAATTCTCCAGCAGCCCACTTCATCCTGGGAAATCACTCTGTTATTGGAAGCCAAATATTTAAGGCGGGATGAACACAGAGAGGGGGCCACTGGTGACACCCCAGCCCTGGTCCCAGGGCCTGCCTCTCGCTCTCCCAGCCCCTGCTGCAGCGCTTCTGTGGAGGGCTTGTCCCTCGTCCCACTCAGTCATGGACCTGCTTCATGGGTATCTCCTCCTCCTGAAGGCTGGACGGGGCAGTGGAGAGGAAGAAGTCATGAGAAACAGTGGGGGTTAGCCCTCCAACCTACCACCCCAGCCTGCCCATCTTGCAAATCACGTAAGGCCTCCTGTGTGCTTTGACGCACAGTTTACAAACCCCAGGTCTGCACACTTGCATATACACGCCTGAGACACACGTGCAGACATGTCTCCTCCGAGTCGTACCTGAGGCGTCAGGAATCTGCGCACCTATACCCAAACGCGTGTGCTGGCACAGACCCCTGAGTACACACCTCTTCCTCTCCACATCCTGGATGGTTTCTGGCAGCTGAGCCTGCCTTGTCTCCGGCAGCAGGAGGGCAGTGCCGGCAGCCAGCAGGGCGGTTCCCCCATAAGCTAGCTGGGGCAGCGATAGCCATACCCCATCCAGCAAGGCCGCCAGGGGGGCTAAAGAGCCCCCCAGCCGGCCCACCAATGCAGTCAGCCCCATTCCCGTCTGCCTGTTTAGAGAGAGAATGGGGGAGAGGGGTCATGCTCCCCCTACGTGGGGTCATGCTTCATGGGCTTCTTGCCTAGGCTGGAGATACCCCCTTCCTCCTAGACATCTTAGAAACCTAAGGCTTCTTTCAGATGGTCTTCCCTCCCCTGTCCCTGTCCCCAAGCTGGCACCCACCAGAGGGTGGGATCCCTGTTCTGGGAGAGAACCAAGAGAAGAATTCCCTGTTCAGCAAAGAATGGGGTTGGAGGAAGGGTAGTGTAGTAGGAAGAAGGTCAGCGGCTCCTAGAGGCCCTGCCCTGTTAGAAAAGGCACAAGGCTTTCGAGATGCAGCAAGTTGCCTATAGGCCTTCTCTCCCCCGCAACTATCCGAAAGGCCCCCCAGTTCTTACATGCAGAGAAAAACCCAAGGACAGCTCTGCAATGGGACTGAGGGGACGGCAGGACAGCGCTTTGTCTGGCTTTTCATTTAAAGGAGGCGGAAAGGTGGTCTGACCCAGCTCCGGCCATTTACTAAACAAAAGGCTCCACCTTCTCCAGACTTAGGCAAACAGGGGTGGCTCGATTAGCTCTGAATTCCCCGGCTAGTGTAAGAAATGGGTGAGAGGGGCTGGGGTGCAGTGCCTGGATGTAGGGGTGTTGGTAAGAGATGTGACAAGCAAGCTTTCCCCCTAGATGGGTGGCCTGGGACCCAGGCTCCCCTCACCTGAGCACGGTAGGATACAACTCCGAAGTGAACAGGTAGGCAGTCGTGAAGGCGGCTTCAGAAAAACCTTTCCCCATCACCGCCAGCGTGGTGCTCCAGGACCCCATTTCTGGAGGGAAAGGGGCCAGGCGGTGAACGGGTCTTTGGGATGGGTGGTGCAGCCTCCTTGTGGGGGGAACCAACAGGCTGGAGCAGGGAGGGAGGCGAGGTGGGGGTTCTCGGCCAGGAGGAGGGGCGTCTGGCGGGGCTCACCAGAGGAAAGCAGCAGTCTGATGCCCAAGGCCAGGGCGGTGCCCAGCAGCATTCCGGCCTGCGTGAGGCGGCGGCCTGCGTGGCGCACCGACAGGTAGACCAGCAGCTTGGAGGGCAGTTCCACGGCCCCGAACAGCAGCTGCGTCTGGTACACGTTCAGCCCCAGCCCTGACACGTCCAGGCTCAGGCCATAATAGGAGAAGTTCACACCAAACCTGAGGGGGCGGGGGCCCAAGTTGGCTCAGGGGCCCTGGCCTTTTACAGTGACTGCCGCCCTCATCTTCACAGCCTGCTCCCTGTGACCTGCCCTCTCCCGCGACACCCCACTCCCACCCAAGAGTGTGCAGCACTTGCTAGAGGCCAAAACCCCTTACACTTCACAGAGTCTTAGGAGATCTGAACTCGGTGTCTCCTTACAGCAGGGGACTGAGGCTCCAAGTATCAAGTGGCCTGTCCACAAAGGCCCCCCGCAAGGAGGCAGCAGTGTCTGGATTTGAACTGACCTGTCTCTGAGGCCTGCTGTATCTTTTTTTTTTTTTATCATTTATTTTATTTAGTTACGCATCCAAGAACTGGGGTACAGATCAGAGGTGGGGGGTGGTGAGAGGTTTCATCAGAGACAGAGTGAGGAGCAGAACAGGCAGATCTGCTGAAATTCTCTGCTGAGGGGAGCAGCGGGAAAGACAGGAGAGCTCTGCTGTGCCATGTGGGTCAGCTCCCTGGCTGGGGATTGAACTCAGCTGCAGTGGCTGCCGACAGCTTAATAGCGGAGACTTCTCCCCCTGCGCCACCAGGGAGGCCCACCTGCTGCATCTTGGCCTTGCCAGCCTGCTGTCCAGCCCCCACTCCCTTGCCGTCAACCCTCTCCCATCCCCCCTCCTCACCACACAACCATGCAGCACAGTGAGATGTGTCGGAGCCGAGGAGTCCGGAATAAATCTAGGTACGAGGGTCTTCGCACCATGCGCTCCCCAGCTGCTACTTTGCTCAGAGCCTGTTGGGGGAAGAGGAGAGTTTGTGACATTGGAGTAATTGTCTATGTGTCCATGTCAAGGCATATTGCCGGCTGTAGCAGGGGTGGGGTGCACTCAGGGTTGGGTAGGATGGTGGGTATAGAACAGCAGAGCTAGGTGGGACACCGCAAAGTTTGGAACTCTCCACCGGGCACGGGGAGTTTTTCCTGTGTACATCATGGGCCCAGGAAGAGATGCTTGACACAGCGCCCCCATGCCCCCACCACACACTCATCCTCACCTCCCGGCTTAGGCTATGTTCACCAACGGGCCGCCCGTTGAGCCTGGCACAGCGGAGCAGGTACCCACGGGCCTCCTCCACACGCCCCTGGGTCAGAAGCCAGCGTGCCGATTCAGGCACCCACCTGGGGGACAGCAGGAGGCCCTTCAGTCAGAGTTAGGACCCTACCTCACATCTCCCTCCTCAGCTCCAGCCGTGGGTCCCAGCTCAGTCCCCCAAGCTGGAACACCTTGCCAAGCCCTCCCACCCCCCGATGGCCTGACACTCATTCTTTAAAACCCAGTCAAAAGCCTCCTCTTCCTACATTTCCTCACTTATGCTTAGGTCCTCCACAACCCCGAGGCCTGGCCCCACTCAAATGAGTCTGCCTCGTGCTAAGACAGCCTCCTCCGCCGGCCATCCACTTGTTCCACAGGTGGCAGGAAGGCAAAGGTGAAGAGAGACAGACGTACAGAGGGTCACCAGCCAGTTCATCTTAGGGAGGCAAAAAAATGCCCATCCTCTGGTCTCCCCTTTTCTGCTGGGACCCCCAACCCCCACAGCACCCCCACTGGCCCTGCCTCATTCCCACCCTCCAGGAGACCATCCTCAGTCGTGCTTGGCTCCGTCTCTGTCTCCTGTCACTCCTGTGTGTGCATCTCCCTCTGTCCCTCTTGTGGCTCATTCTGCAGGACCTCAAGTGCACCTGTCTGCCCCGGCTGATGTTGTGCATGGGTGCGCACACTCCCCAGTAAGGCCAACGAACAGGCCAGCAGAGCACAGTGCACTCTGTCCTGCAAAAGCTTCAGCCCACTGCTTTGTATCAAGTAGAAGCTACAAGAAGCCCCAGGCCCCTACAAACATGCACCCCACCCTTTGCATCGGGCACATTTCCTGGGCACATTTCGTGTTTTTCCCTGCACCTTCAGACCCTATATATACCCATGGGCAGTCCTAATAAACAGACTCCGGACTCCAGATCCCAGGCTCCTGCTTCAGTTTCTTGAGTCTCCGAGTCGCCTACGTTCAGTGGAAGGTAGCAGTCAGCGCACCCCTCGGTGGGTTTGCAACACCCTCTGAATCTGCCTTTTCGTCCAGGCCGGTCATGCACTATTCTCACTGGTTCCGTCTCTCCATCTGGCTCAATATTTTGTTCTCTGTTCCTCTGCTGCCGCGTGTTACCATCTTCTTTCTGTGAGTCTGACCCTTTCTCTCTCTCTCTCAGTTTCTTGGTCATGGACTGTTTCTCTCCGTCTCTGGCTTGGAATCTCAATATCTGGTTAATTCTGTGTCTGGCTTCCTATCTCCCCCATTTCCCAGCTGCCCACAGGCCTCACCAGAGGCTGAGGATGCCTGGGGCGCAAGGCAGGGTGACAGCCAGCAGAAGCCATCGCCAGTCCCGTATCAGGTACCCGACCAGTGCCAGCAGCATCACACCCCCTGTCCAGAAGGTGCTGCTCAGGACGCCTGCCACGGTGCGGTGTCCCACGTCCAGCCACTCCAGTTCTGGGCCCAGGGCCAGGCCGGAGACAGGGAGACAGTTAGCAAGGGCCAGATGGGCTCAGCCTCGCCCTTGACCACTGCCTCCCGCCAGCCCGCCAGGTGCTGCCGATTCTTTGCCTGCCTCACCCAGCGGCATCACGATGATGGTGAAGCCAGCCAAGGCTGTGCCAGTGAGGGTGCGCGTGATGGCGAACATGATGTAGCTAACGGAGGCTGCAGATGCCAGGCCCAGCACCAGGGTACTCACGTAGGCTACCAGCAGCAGGGGGCGCCTGCCAAACCTGCAAAGGACCGAGCAGACCAGCTCCCTGCGGCCCCAGGACAGGGGCCAGCCCCACACGGCAGCAGCGAGGGGGAGAGGAGGGCTCCCTACCCATCGCAGGTAGCCCCCCACCTCACCTCACCTGTCTGAGAGGTATCCGAAGGCCACAGCCCCCACCAGCACGCCCGCGAAGAAGAAGGTGGAAGTGGCTCTGTTCAGGCCTTTCCGCTCACACACCAGGTCCCACTGCAGGCGGGAAGGGGCCTCTCGTGGGCACAGGGCCCTTCTCCAGCGGGCACCACCCCTGCTTCTGCAGACCCAGGTGCTTCTGAGGTCAGCAGCGCCACACAGCACCTCCGGGTCAGGTAATAAACTCCCAAGTGTTCACCCCAGCTGGGGGGCGGGAGGCGGGAGGCGGCCCCTCCCGAACCTGCAGCCTGAGCCTCTTCACCACGTCCACAGGAGGCCCACTCTGGCCCTGAGAAACTCGCCCTGCACTGGCCTCCAGATGAAGGCCACCTGTCTCCCCCCACCCCACCCCTGCTGTAGAAATACCCTTCCCAACCGTGTGCCCCAACTCCCTGGGCACTTCTCAGCCCTTCCCTGCCTGTATCGCCTCCCAGTTAACAACAGCAGCTCCATGGCTTATAGCCACAAACAGGAATTTGGCTCAGCGCATTAAAGCCACAGACCCCCACCTATCTGCTGATAGGCAAAGGGAGACTCTAAGCAGCAGCCTGTCTGATGCCCACATAGCAACCACTGGAGGCAGCGACAGACCCGCCCCCTCGTGTCCCCCAGCCTCCCGGCTCGGCTCTGTGGCTCTGTACCTCCGTAGCAATGGTGGAGGAGAACTCCGAGCTGTTGTACTCCCAGCCCTGAGGGCAGGGCTCCGTGGGGGGCTCGGGCTGGCCCTCCAGCTCCCCAGGGCTCTGCTCCCCTCCCCCCAGAGTGGTGTTGGGGAGGGCCCTGGGGTGGGAGAAGCGCAGGCAGGAGCTGAAGGTGCCATCAGGCTCCCTGGGGAAGCTGGCTTCTAGCCATGCGTCCTGGTGGCTGACGTTGGCAGGGGTGCCAGGCAGGACACAGCGATGGGCAGGCACGGCCGCCAGGAAGATGGGCAGGAGGAAGTGCAGGGGCAGCAGCACTCGCGGCAGGGCCAGCAGGGCCACGTTCCACAGCTGGAAGTGTCCAAAGCCGCCTACCTGGTCCAGCAGCTCCTCGAATCCCATGCCTCCCGCCCGCCAGCCACCCAGCTCCGCTGCCTCTGTAGTGCCCAGCACCACACAGCCCACCCGCCACCTAGACCCTTGGACTCTGGATGGACTGATGAATGGAGAGGCTGCAGCCAGAAGCCAGCCCTCAGGGGCTGGCCCAGGACTGGGCCCTCCCTAGCCAGCCAGGACTCCAGGAATCCCTGCCTGAAAGGCCAGCCTGGGGGAGGAGCTGTCATCCACTCAGAGGTCACTGACTCTGTGGTCTGGGACTTAGGTCCATCAGGGCTCAGGGACCACGGGGCAGCCTTGGGCCACGAGGAAGGTGGCCGAATGTGTGGGCAGGGAGCACGAGCCCCTTGGTCAGTAGAGCACCAGACCCCTACGAGGAGGAGACCTCCTGGGCACCGGCCGGCTCTCCCTGGATGCTCTTTGTCTTACGGAGTCTTCGTCAGCCTTGTTCATTTGCCTGGCGGGCAGCCCAGGAATCAGACTGGCCAGGTCCTGACCGGGGGAGGGGTTCTTTCTTTCTTTCTTTCTTTTTAAAAGATTTATTTATTCATACAGAACTGGGGGACAGGACAGAGGTGCAGGGGCAGTGAGAGACTTCACCAGAGACAGAGCGGGGAGCAGAACAGGCCGAATGACTGAAATACACTGCTGAGGGGAGCAGTAGGCAGGTCAGGAGAGGTCTGCCACGCCATGTGGGTCAGCTCCGGGGCGCGGATCAAACTCCCATTGAAGCGGCTGCGGCTCACTGGCAGTGCTGCACCCTCACGTGTTGCACCACCACCAAGAGAGGGGTTCGTTCTGACGGGCCACATAGCCTTCCTATAGCGTATACCCTGTCCTGAGGCACCCAGAATCACATGGCCTGGCTTCTCGGGGGGGACTCTGATGCCAGAGCACCCTCCGTCTTCTTCACATGGGCTCTCCCTATACACAGTCCCTCCTGTCTGTCCTCTCTTCCTGCTTTGCTTTTCTGGATGATTCTATGTGGGGCTGGCAGGGGGCCAAGGAGGAGGGGGCTTGCCAAAGTCCTGCCAAGGCACCTGCACTGCTGATACTTTAAATTTGTCTGGCCTCCCACTCCCCTCCTCGTGGCTGCTGCACAGAGACACCGGAGGCAGCACCACCGGGCTTATTCTGCCTCTGATTCTCCAAAGACTGGGCTGGCAGAGCTGGGAGGCTGTCAAATTGTGTTCCAAGGACTCCAGATTTCTAAGCAAATGGACTTCCAAAGGTGTTCTTTGAGAAAAGACCAAGTTGAAAAGTGTTGGAAGAATACTAATTTAATCTAGCCCCCACTTTGGACAAACAAAGAAATGGGAGCAGGGGGTGGGGGGAGGGAGAGAGGGAGGGCAGGCGGGGAGACACACAGTGACTCAGCAGCAGAGCTGAAGAAAGAACCAGGGCCCCTGAATTGGGCACAGGCCTTGGGCCTACACTGCTGAGCTGGAGCTGTTCCAGTGGGCACTGGGCTGGCACCCAGAGGAAGCTCTGGCATCCAGTGTGCTGATAGGCGTGGCGACGGGGCGCCGGGGGCTGTGATCTGGCAGTGGGGGCAGCGGTCAGGAAGGCAAGACAGCTGTTGAGTGTCCAGGGCAGCACAAGCCTTCCTTCCGGTCAAACAGGCCTCTCACACAGACCTGCCCTCAGTGAGCTTACAGTCTAACAGGAGGGTTAAAACACGTGACAGTCTGGGCCCGCCCCAGCGGGTTAGAGTGCACCACTATGAAGCCAGCCACAGCCGCTTCAGCAGAGTCTCATCCCCGGCCTGAGACCTCTCCTGCCCCGCCCGCTGCTCCCCTCAGCAGTGGACTTCGTCAGTCGTCAGTCGGCCTGTTCTGCTCCCCACTCTGTCTCTGGTGAAGCCTCTCATGGCCCCTACACCTCTGGCCTGTACCTCAGTTCTGTATGCACAAATAAATCAATCTTTGAAAAAAAAACAAGTGACAGTCTTCTTGCCTTCAATCTCACCCCTCCAACCAGTTCCCCACAATGCAAATTGTAAACCAAATCTGACCTGGTTAAAACCCTCCACCAGCTCCACCGCTGGAAGGCGGAAGTTCAGCTGGTCAGTTTGCCTTTAGCTTTCAGGCAATTTCCCAGAGGAATGAGGCGGCACTCAGGGAGATGGAGAGAGAGGTTTATTCATCACTAGTGGGCTCAGGGCAATAGCTCCCAGAAGGATGAACCCTGACTTGCAGGAATACAATTTGTATGCAGTTTGTATGTATACAAACTGCATGCAATTTGTATGTCGTTTCTATACAGTTTGTATGCAAGAACTTACTTCCCCATGTATCACAGACTTCACTGCTTGGGAAGCGGTCAAGGTAGCCGGAGCTACCACTGTGGACCACCACACTGCAGGGACTTTCTGCTTCAGAGAGCAGCATACTTAGCAACTTCCTGTTTCCATAGGACACCCCAAGTTTGGCTCCTCTCCCCAGGTGGCCTCTGGTCACTCCCCACCTCCATGCAGCCCCTTGGCAACACTGGCCTCCCTTTTATTCACCTGGAGAATGTCCAAGCCATCTGGAGACCCACTCGAGGGCGAGACACCTCCTTTTCCTCCAGCTCTCACCTAGCTCACTGTCCCTCCCTCGTTCACTCCGCTATAATCCCACTGCATATAACACATGTAAAATATCACAGCACTGTGCATCTCCCGTGGCTGGCTTTTGCAGCCAATGCATCATCTCCCTGGCCCATCCATGGGAGAGAGTATTCCCTTTCTCAGAATGATGGGGACCTCCTGCCTCGACGTAAGAAATAATGTGAATAGTGGTCTCTTCTCCCTCTTGGCATTGGCTCCTAGGAGACTCAAATCTAAATCTGCAACCCCTTTCTACAGGGTAGGTGGGCACCGGTCCCCTGCTCCCTTGCATCCCTGCCCCCACTCCAGATGGCCGCTCTCTTCCTGCCGGCACCAGCAGTGGTGGTGAGATGACCGTGATGTCTGGAAGCAGATGGTGGATGGGAAAGGTAGGAAACGCCGAGAGTCCAGCCACTAAGGACAGATCAGCTCTGAATCACCACTGAAAAGCTGCTGTTCTGATTTCATTTTTAGCCATCCCCCTCCGCCTCCAACCTGCAATCCAAACCTGAGCTCAGTAGCCAAGTGAGCCTTGTAGTGGCATGAGTCTAGGTCTAGCAGGAGAAGAGCCTCATGCCCTGGCAGAATTACCCCTCAGTCGACATGACCTCTGGAACTGCTGAGGGTCCCCGTGTGTTGACTGCATAAGGACTCCTTACATTTCAGGATCTTTTTTTTTTTTTAAGATTTATTTATTTTACTTTATTTTTTTAAAGATTTATTTATTTGTGCCTACAGAACTGGGGTACAGGCCAGAGGCTCAGGGGCAGCGAGAGGCTTCACCAGAGACAGAACGGGGAGCAGAACAGGCAGATCTACGAAGTACACTGTTGAGGGGAGCAGCGGGCGGGTCAGGAGAGGTCTGCCACGCCATGTGGTCACCTCCGGGGCAGGCGGGAATCGAACTCATGCGGAAGTGGCTTTAGCTTCTCAGTGCTGTGCTTCAACCCGCTGTGCCACCAGGGAGGACCCTTTCTAAGATTTATTTTATTTATGCATACAAGAACTGGGGTGTAGACCAGAGGTGCAGGGTGGGGGGTAAGAAGGTGAGAGGATTCGCCAGAGACAGAGTGATTGACTAAATCCACTGCTGAGGGGAGCACTGGGTGAGACAGGAGAGGTCTGCTGCACCACTGCTGTTCTGACGATGGCAGTAGCAATGGGATAGACTACAGGTGAGTTTGGTTATGGGGCAGGTCTAGCAATGTCGAAGAGAAGGTCCTGTGGTGATGGGAAGAGGGCTTTGAGTCTACTAGGAATGCAGTTAGGAGGGCATTGGATATGTGGTAGATAGGACGGATGGTGGTGGGGTGGGGTGATGGTGGAGATGATAGTCACGATGAAGACATGTAAGCGAATCATGTCTCTCCTGTTATCAGAGCCTAGTGGTGATGATGGCAATGGTTTGGAACAAGAGTACCTGTGATCTGACAGGTGAGGTGCTGGTCATGTTGGGTAGTAGAGTTGGAGTGAGTCATGGAGAAAGAGACTGTGATTGTAGTAGAATTGCTGGTGGTGGTGGTGGGTGATATCGCACCTGTGGGCTTAATGGATTGCAGAAGATGCCACCTGGAGCGGATGAACATGGATGTGCATCATGTTCCCCTTTGACCCGTGACCAAACTCCCATGACCGAGAAGACTCTCCTCCCCTTCACCTCAGGCCACTGAGGTTGCTGAGGACAGTTCTGACCTGCAGAGGATTTAGAAGGCCTTGCTCAGGACACCCCCTGGTGGCGCAATGGGTTAGAGCATTGCACAGAGAAGCTTAGCCAAGTGGTGGCCACTTCAGTGCAAGTTCGATCCCCACCCTGGAGGTGACCCACATGGTGCAGCAGACCTCTCTGTCTCGCTGCTGCTCCCCTCAGCAGTGTACTTTGTCAATCTGCCTGTTCTGCTCTCCATTCTGTCTCTGGTGAATCCTCTCGCCGCACCTGTACCCTTGATCTGTACCCCATTTCTGTATGCATAACTAAATAAAATCTTAAAAATAAATAAATAAATAAGAAGGCCATGCTCACCATTCCATCTTGGCTTGGCCTCAGGCTGGTCATGGCCTGGACTCCTGAGTAGCCAAAGGGAAAATCTCAGCAGATTTTCATCAGCACCTGAGCACTTGCCTCCCAAATGTCTTCAAGGACTCATCTCTACTAATGAAGCCCCTCCAGTGTACTCGTCTCAAGATCCCCCCAGACTGAGCAACTTGACTTGTTCAAATCACTTTTTTCTCTGTGCCCCTGTGTCCTCTTAACCATAGGACAGAAAAGAGAAATATATTTACGGAGGAAGTGGGGAGAAGGTCCACCAGAGACTGTGTAGACCTACAGCTGTGAAGCATAAGGTAAGCCTGACAACCAAACTGGGCCTTGGAGGTGGATGTGGTTGGCAGGTATCAGGCTCCTAGAAGGGAAGCAGCCCCCCTCAAGCTGTCCTCTTGGTATAACTTACTCCTGCCTCAGACCTGGTCCCTCCCTCCTTCTCTGCTTTCTCTGCTCCCCATC